GAAGAAGGACCTGTGCGGTCTGATGTGCCCTCTCCGTTTGGCCATCGGTTTGGGGGTGGCGAGCCGAACTTGGCTTGAGGGATGAGCCCCATCGCGTGATGAGCGCCAACCAAAAATCGGACATGAACCGAGTGTCGCGGTCGCAGACGATTTCCTTGGGGTAACTCTTGGTTCGAATCCAACCGGCGTAGAGAACCTCGGCCAACTCCGGTGCCTTGGCGTGATAGCGGCAAGGCAAGAACATGGCAAACTTGGTGAAGCGGTCAACCACCGTGAGAATCCCATCGACGCCCGTCTTGTGCTTGGGGAACGGCCCGGTGATATCCATGGCAATCGCTTCCCTTCGGCGCAAGGGGACCGGTAATGGTCGCAGTTCGCCATATGGACGATGATTGCGAGGTTTGCAACGTCGGCAAACTTCGCATGACTCGCAATAGCGCATGACGTCGTCGCGGAGACCGGGCCACCAAAAGCGCTCGCGTAGTCGGCCAATCGTGCGATTGACTCCAAAGTGTCCGGTGGCGGGGGCGTCGTGAAACTCACCAAGAAGCCGGGTGCGCAAATGTGAATCTTGCGGCACACAAAGGAGATCCTTCCCCCGCGAATGAAGAAGCAAGTATCCCTCTTGGATCCGATAGTGCGAAGACGCCGGATTGGGAGAGGAACAATTCGCGTACTTGTCGCGGAACTCGGGGTCGGCTTGATAGCCGCGGATGAAGCTGTCTCGCAAGTCGTCCTCGATCACGAAGGTTGAGTAGACCGCGGTGCAGTGGTCCGGACGCCGCGAAAGAGCATCCGCAAAACGGTTCGACTTCCCCGGAATGTGATCGGGAAAGAAGTCGAATTGGTCGATGAAGGCCATCCAACGGGCGATGGTGCTGTTGACGGTGTCTTGAGACTTGTAGAAGACCAACGGATTGTTGTCCGTTACCCATCGGAACTGGCGTCGACCGAGGAGGAAGTGCCGCCACCACTTGAGTGCGTGGTCGAAGGCGAGAAGTTTCTTCTTCCGTGCATCATCGATGGAGTGCACGGCCGACACTTTCTTGCTGACGTATTCGACCGGGTGTCAGTCCACACCGTCATGTTGCTCGAGGACGGCACCAATGCCATAGCCGGATGCGTCCGTGGTGACGCGTGTTGGCAATAGCGGGTCGTATATCCGCAATACCTCCGCGGAAAGCAATGCGGCCTTGAGGGCCAAGAATGATTCCCGCGCATCCGTCCTGAAGTCAAACGACCGGTCCTCACATTGAAGCTTGGTTAAGTGAGCCGCGATCTTCGAGTAGCCTTTGATGAAACGTTGGTCGTAGCCGGCGAGGCCGAGGAATGATCGAACATCCGTGACGTTCCGTGGCTCCGGCCAATCTTGGACGGCTTGAATCTTTTCCGACAACGGACTGATGCCTTGTGGAGTGATGAAGTGGCCCAAGTATTCCAACTCTTGACGTACGAACTCGCACTTGTCGCGGTTGGCTTTGAACTTGGCGCGCCGGAGTGTCTCCAACACTCGTCGAAGATGGTCAAGATGTTCCTCCAAGATCCGGCTATAGACGAGGATGTCGTCCAAGTAGACCAGCACGAACCGGTCCAACATTGCTCGGAACTCGTTGGTCATTGTCGCCTGAAAAGTCGTTGGGGCGTTGGTGAGTCCAAAAGGCATAACAACCCACTCGAAGTGCCCGTACCGTGTCTTGAACGCGGTCTTGTAGCGATCTTGCGGCCGAATCGAGATCTGATGATATCCTGACTTCAAATCCAGCTTAGAAAAGAATTTTGCGCCGCCCAAGCGCTCCAGAAGGTCGTCAATACGAGGAAGAGGTCCCATGTTCTTGACGGTTTGCGCATTGAGCTTGCGGTAATCGATGCATAAGCGAAGGTCCTTGTTCTTCTTCCGAACGAAGAGAACCGGCGCACCATAGGGTGAGCTACTAGGCCGGATCCAGCTTTTGTCCAACAAGTCGTCGAGCTGCGCGCGGAGTACTGTAAGTTCCTCCTCGCTCATGCGGTAAATGCAACCTTTTGGAGGCACGACACCGGCCTCGAGAATGATCTCGTGAGAGATTGGCCGATCCGGCACCACGCCGGTAGGTGACTCGAAGACGTCGGCGAATTCGTCGAGCAACCGCACCACCCGGGGGTCTGAAGACAAGTCCGTAGGTGGAGAGTCGGCTATCGTGACGGTTCGAAGAAAACATAAGCCGATCTCTTCGGTCAGCTCATAAGCGCAAGTGGCCCGAAAAGATTTGGCTGTTACAACTTGGCACCGGATCGAAGGGTGCGGGGGAGGAATCGTACATGGTACTTCGGCGCCGAACGCGTCGCGAACCGTAAGTGTCCGCCGATGGAAGTTGACCGTGTGATCCGCACTTGCGAGCCAAGGCATGCCCAAAATGATGTCGAAGTCCGTGTCTAAGACGTCAAACGTCACCGGTTCGCATGCATGAGGTGCGAAATAAACCGGGACGGCTTCGATGTAACGATCAAGGAGTTGTTGCGTTCTTCCATCCGCCAACTTGATCGACGTAGGGTGTGCCTTCCTTCGAACTTGTGGTCCAAGGCCGGCCCTTTGCATGAAGGACTGGCTAATGAAGTTGCGAGTCGCGCCGCTATCCAGCAAAGCGCTGCAGGACGCTCGCCCGATTTGGATGCGGACATAAAGGAGCGGTGCGTTGTTGTCGTCGTACCGCTACCTGCGAAACTCGCGGGTCACCTTGCTCACATACGCAAGGATGTCCCCCACCGCGACCTCGTCCTCCGTAGGCGAAGTTGGTGGTGCATAGAAGGCTAGGTATGTATGTAAATGAGCGCGAAGAGCTGCGCATTGCGGCTCCGGTAAGCAGCCGGTGGAAGGGAGAGGAAGCCATGCAAAATCCTCAGGCGTCAACGGGTCCAAGTCCTCAATGTTGAACGCGCGCGCCGAATCCCGTGAAGGTCCACTTGAAGACGAATCAATGCTGCTGCTTCCGATCGGAGAAGAGACCGCACACACATTCTGTCCTTGGGCTCGTGAATCCAGCGAAGGTACGATCCGGGCAGCATAGTCCTCGAAGGAATGAAGAATTGGAGGACTTACGACGTCCGCATGTGCCCCCGAACCGAGGGAGGTTACCTGAACGGCAACCGGTTCTGTAGGCGTCGAGAGTGTCGTCGCAACACTCTCGGCGGAGCTCACTATCCTGACTAAGCGGGGCCCTTGGCTTTCGTGGGGCAGTTCGCGGTCTCATGGGCCGCGCAATTGCACCACAAACAATAACGGTACTTGGTGCGGACGCGATACCCGCGCTCCGTCAGACCGTACGCTGTCCAAGGTCCTTGAGTTGGAGCTGCTTGCCCGGGCCCATAAGAAGTATTGGTGTTGATCTTCGGCTTGCCGCGTCCTCGTCCTTTGGCGGGGCGGCCACCATTCTGGGCAGCTGCGAGTCTGTCTCCCTCGTCAGACGAAGCAGCCTCGTTTGAAGTAGAAGGGTCGCTAGTAGTTGCCGCTGCGACCACGACCACTTTCGGCCGATGCTGATGCGCGCCCTGGCCGGCATTTGACGAATGGCCCGTGTTCTGGCCTGCCAAGTTCGTTACAATGATCTGCGCGGCCTTGTTGAAAAGTTCCTCGCTTGTAGTGAGGGTGTCAGCGACATGAGTCAACGCATTCTGCAACGCCGGACACGACCTCTTGATGAAATAGAGCTTGATGCCATCGAAATTCAGCGGTCGCTTGGGCGTGCTTGCGAGGCGTTGGAACTCAGATATCCAGTCGCCGCTTGGCATGTTGTGTTGCGTGAACGTCAACAACTTGTCCATCGCCTGGTGTTCTGGCGGTTCCACTTGGAAACGCTTCTTCCATGCCGCCGTCAGATCTGCCCAGGTGATTTACTTGTGTAATTCCGTGGCTGTACATGCATGTGCGGACAGCATATTGTCCAGCCATGATTGACGCGCGCCTCCCGAGCGGGAGTACAAATAGGCGTGCTGGTTCTCGTTGGCGACGTGGTGGAGGTCCAGCTGAGGTCGAACTGGCGCCACCATTGTATGGGGTCCGTCTTCGATGCGTCACAGAAGATCGGGAGCCCGTCAAACCTGACAATGGTCTCGCGTGGCGTCGTGCTGGAGCTGGCTGCGGCGCAGACGTGCTGTTGCGCCCCGGCCTTGAGTGTCCCCACGTCTATCTCCAAGACATTGACGCAGTCGGCGAGGTCGGAAGGGCCGGCGCTGGCATTGGCGTTAGCGACCTGCTGCTCCAGCTGCTGAATGCGCTTGAGCATCTGGTCCGACGACTGTTGCAGCGCCTTGTTAGCGTGATCGAGGGAGTAGATGTCCTCCTGCTGCGCGATGCAAGTCGCGAGGAGGTCCGTGACACGGTTGAGCAGTTGAGATACTCTGCTCCCGACGTCAACGGGATCGCCATTCTCGGCCTCCCTCTGCCAATCCTTGGCCTGTGCGTGTAAGGCACTTTCCTCCTTGAATATAATCTCGCGTCGCCGTACGCGTTCTTCATCAGCGGCCTTGGCTGCTGCTGCCGCGTGCTTCTGCCGCTGTTCTTCAGCCAGAAGACGTAGTCTCTCTGCCTCTGCTTCTTTCTTCTTTCGTGCTGCTGCCGCTGCGTCTGCTCGCTGCTTGGTTTCGGCCATGATGGCCGCCAGCCGTGCCTCGTAGGCCTCGTCAGTCTCGCCTGTTTTCTGATCCATCGCTGCTGTCTGCGAGCGAGTAAGTATGGTCATGTACTGCGGGTCCCTGACGTGGCCTGCTGAAGCGAGGACTTACCTGGCCTGCAACTGCAGGTGAATGGGCAGGTAAGGAGGAGGGAGAAGGGATGAAGGGTTGGGGTGGAGAGAAGGGGAGTGGGCAATCGGATGGTCGCCCAGATATGGAGCCACTAATCAAAAAAAAAAAATTTGGGAACTTGCAACAATTTTGAGAGAAAAAAATTTCGAATTGGCAAGTTCGGTAGGCCCCCCAGATATCCCCTCAACAGTTAGAGCCACAAATTTCAAATTTCAGACTGCCGAATACATCCAAATGTCAAATGGAGATACAGGACTGCGAAAGCAGAGAAAAAAATATCGGTTCCCGCAAGTCCAGAAAATTCCGAGAACAGAAAAAAAATATTCGGAATATCGTAGGTGAGAGTATGCGCCGTTTGAAAACGAATGCTTGCAAGAGGAATTCCCGAAAATAAAAACGAATTTCAGAAAAAAATTTCGGAATTTTCGAAATTGAAAAACGAATTTTCAGAAAATTTTCGAAATTGAAAAACGAATTTCAGAAGAAATTTCGGAAGTGAACAACGAATTTCAAAAAGTGAAACACGAATTTCAGAAATAATTTCGGAAATGAAAAACGAATTTCAGAAATAATTTCGAATTGCAGAAAGTGAAAAACGAATTTCAGAAATAATTTCGG